CAGACTACTGCGCGAGCTGAATTGAGACAGATCGCCGCCGCGAAGCCAAGCCAGCACAAGTAAGCAGCCGCAATGGAGGGATCCGCCGCTGCGCCGCTCCGCACACGCGTGTGCATCATCGGGAGCGGCCCCGCGGCGCACACGGCGGCGATCTACGCGGCCCGCGCGGACCTCAAGCCCGTTCTCTTCGAGGGCTGGATGGCCAACGGCGTGGCCGCGGGCGGGCAGCTCACCACCACCACCGTCGTCGAGAACTTCCCGGGCTTCCCTGCGGGCATCATGGGCGGCGACCTGATGAAGCGCTGCCGCGACCAGTCCCTGCGCTTCGGCACCAGATTCGTCAACGAGACCGTCACCGCCGTCGACCTCTCCGCCAGCCCCTTCCGCGTCGTCTCGGATAAGTCCACGACCGTCCTCGCCGATGCCGTCATCGTCGCCACGGGCGCCGTCGCGCGCCGCCTGCACTTCCCCGGGTCCGACGCGTACTGGAACCACGGCATCTCCGCCTGCGCCGTCTGCGACGGCCCGGCCCCCATCTTCCGTGACAGGCCGCTGGCCGTCGTAGGCGGCGGCGACTCCGCCATGGAGGAGTCCAGCTTCCTCACCAAGTACGGCTCCCGCGTCTACATCGTCCACCGCCGGAGCACCTTCCGGGCTTCCAAGATCATGCAGGACAGGGTGCTCAAGAACCCCAAGATCCAGGTCGTCTGGAACTCGGTGGTTGTCGAGGCGTTTGGTGGCGCAGAAGGCGGCGGTGGCGGCCGTCGGTTGGCTGGCATCAAGGTCAAGAACCTGGTGAGTGGTGAGGTCAAGGATCTTCAGGTGGCTGGTCTCTTCTTCGCCATCGGGCACACGCCGGCGACGGAGTTCCTGGGTGGGCAGCTCGAGCTTGACTCGCCGGCGGGATATGTGGTCACCAAGCCGGGCTCCACCCACACCAGTGTGAAGGGAGTCTTCGCAGCTGGCGACGTGCAGGACAAGAAGTATCGCCAGGCCATAACTGCCGCTGGATCAGGTACTCTACAGCTCTATGATTCTTTTACGAATATTCGTTTGCTCCTATTGCAATTGCAAGTGATCAATATGCAAACATATCGATTAGAGGAACTTCACTGCTACGAAACAGATGAACACATATGGCCAAAAAATATTTTATGAGAGGCGGGGGTGCATGCCCACCTCTGTGTAATGGTTTGGCGCCGAACCTGCTGACGAGCTTGCTAGCATGTTCATTGCCCAATATGGACCTATCGTGGAGATCGAGAAAGAGGAGAAGTGAAGAGGATGAGGGCCCACTCCGAGACCACCGCCGGTGAGACCCTCCTAGGTCTGCTATATGAAAGTCACTCCTGAGCCGGGCAACCCCCCAAGGATCTAAGCATGTTACGCACGAATCAGGATGCCTCCACATCAGATCTACGAATGAGAGATAGGGAGCAAGAGTTGAGGAAGAGAGAGAGGGAGGGCAATCTCACCAGATCGGGGCATCCCTCCGCAGGGCTCGACTATGTTCTTCGTGTAGTGGTGTGTGGGTGACAACAAGGGGTGCGTCCGAGGCCGCCATGGTGTGCATGGAGTGGAGTAGGGGAGAGGAAGAGGCGCCCCACTGGCATACGCAAGCTATGCCATCGGGTCTGCATGCCATGCCGCTGTGGTGGAGAGAGATTTGGGTAGGTAAGAGAAGTGGGGTGGGTGAGGAGGCGATAGGTGAGGAGTGGACAACTGAGGATGGGGCGGCTAGAGGATTGGGATCGGAATTAAGGTATTTGGAGCTCATGAACGAAGCATTGGTGAAAATGATATTCAATGCTAGTTTGTATCATGAAACGGCAGTGTTATATTTTCATAAGCGTTTTTAATGATCCATTGATGAAAATGTTTTCTGTAGTAGTGATTGACAATATTGTGGCGATAGACCCTATGACAAGACTATAGCAAAACTACAAGTGGGCTATAATAAAGCTATAGCTAGACTATAGCAGGTTATTTAGAACCATGATAATAAGATTAAGAGTTTACTAAACAATAGCAAGTAGAGTCCTGACTTTAGCTTTTAAAAATCTGTTTATCTAGAAAATGCTTCGATCAACATATATATATTGGATCATTTGAAAGGTTTTTAACGAAAGTATTGAAATTATGATAAATTCTACTTGGCAAAGTAAATTCTCATAAACTGCATAAATGGTGATTGTGCCTACTTCATACTTGTTTAGAAAGAGTTAACAATTACCTGTTTTATCATGAAAATCTGCATACAAGATGCATCTGCTTTGAACAATCTCTTTTTGCAATAGTAGTAATGTACAAGTCAGAATGGTGGTTGGTCTCATTGTCTCTTTATAAGATCAATCAATCTAGGAAACTGGCATTGGTGGTTTCATCAGCATAGCATATATATACTTGTGGATGCACGTGACCAATATGTAATTATATCTATTATTTACTTGTGGATGTTGCAGGGTGCATGGCCGCTTTGGATGCTGAGCATTATCTGCAGGAGGTCGGGGTCAGTGCACAGGAGGGCAAGTCTGATGATCGAGTGTCTGATTGACTAGATCAGTTGACGGTGCCGTAATATAATATAAGCCGCAGTCTTATGAGCGGTATGCCATGGGCTGTCATCATTGAAAATAAAACCTGAATAATCACGCTGCTTAGTAGCACACTATATATTCTTCTCATTATGATCCAGAACTTTAAATTTATAGTTATGTACTGCAACCGTCATGTTCACCGGCTATGAACTTATCCTTTTAGATATCTTCATTGTCAATATGGTCGCTAAGTTATTCGTGTTGTATTATCTAACAAAATGTTATTCGTGTTGCTACGCTGAGCTCATACCCATCAAATGTCTAGCAGCCTTTCAGCTTCCCCTCAGTTTCATTCTCTCTTTCTTTTCAGGGGAGTTACCGTCTGTTACATGTACATATTCAGTCATTCCGACATTCAGTCAAGCAGCCTGAAGACACACACTGGCCAACCGGCCTTCGGTTAGCCCACGATCTCCATCACGTATGGACAATCAATTTCCGCCTGCCGCGCAAGGCCCAGCTCCGTATGCGAGCTAACATAAGGCCTAGATTAGGCAGATCCACAATTCCTACTCTCACTAGCCGCATGAATATCCGTTTGATGGGGGGCTATTCAGGCTAGTGGACTGCAACTTTCTCTTGTATGATTGGCCGTACACTACCACTCTACTTACAACTTGGTTGCGTACTAGACTATGCAGGCCTTGGTTTAAATTCTCATGTTCATATTTTATAATTTTATCAAATTTGACTAAAATTAATTTATTCGAGATGATTCAATACAATAGAGAGCTACTTCGTGCCAATTAGAACTGCTAGATCAACATATGAGCACCACATCAAAGTTGGACCCTAGAACTAAACTCTCGTGCTCACACTTTAAAATCATAGAGAAATTTACTAAAATTTATTTTGTATGCCTCAATACGAAACGAAACTACTTTATGCCAATTAGAAGTTTAGAACTCAGCAAAGTTGGCCCGGCCCGACTCAGCCCACCAAGCGTGGCCTGGTTCGTGAACCTTATTGAATAGGACCTAGGCATAGCTCTCTTTTAGTTTTACATAAAAAATATCAGCTCAGCCCGAGGTTGACACAAAACATTCCTTTTATTTATTTATTTTAAAATTGAAAAATAGTAGGCAGCCTACTGAGGCCCAACCCGAACTCAGCCCAAAGCGGTCGGTGCATATTTTATCCCTGAACTCAATCCACCATTTTGCTGGTCCAGTCTAGCTTATGTAGCAAGATCTGCATGTGAACCACCATCATCAAAAGTCAGATCTCGGACCAAAAGCTCACGTTCACATCTTAAAATTTTAGCGAAATTAACTAAAATTTGTTAGAAATGATTCAAAATGATATGAACCAAAAAGCTCGCGTTCGAAATTGAAGTGTATGAAGCTACATGTGCCGATTTGTGCACCAAGATCAACTTGTGGGCCCCACGTAAAAAGGAGGACCCACATACTAAAAGCTCACGCTCACACCTTAAAAATTTAGCGAAATTAACTGTTACTAAATGTTAAGCCAATTTATGTGTGAAGATCAATATGTTTGTCCCATATCCACCGCAGGACCTTGGAACTAAAAGCTCCCATTCACACCTTAACTTTCAGCGAAATTCATTGAAATATGTTGCAAATGATTTAAAGTGATATGAAGCTATTTTGTGCCAATTTACATGCCAAGATCATGAACTAGATTGGGATTTCACGTAATTTGAGTGAGGGGACAAGGGAACTAGAATGACATTTGACTGTAACTAGCTAGCTGGCCCAAAAAAACACTATTGGGTACCCACCTGCATCCTTATTGTTGAACATTTCACCAAGTCATCCAAAATGTCCTTAGAGTGCTCATGGATAGCAGAACCATAAAACAGTTACAATCTCCCACCCTAAAGTTAGTTACTCTATTTCTTATAGCCATGTGGATATAAAACTCTAAGACGGTCAACCTTGATTCCCACTATAATGCCTCCAAATCTTCCTTTTGGTTGGATCCATCTGCAATCAACAACCACCTCAACCAGCAACAAGAACGAGCTGCAGCCGGCCATATGCATGAGGACAACCAAATTGTAGCTGCGTGCCTAACACCACAAGCAACTAGAAATCCATGGGAATTGAGTGGAACAAACAAAATCAACCCACTTTTGATACCATATTGAAGATTAAATGGAAAGTGCAGAGAAGACCCATGGACACAAGTTGGGGAAACTCTCCAACTATCCTTCTTCTAGATCTCCACTCTCTCTTCTTTTATTTATCTCTTTTCAATTTTCTCCTTTTAGTCTCTACAATATTACGTAGTTACAAAAGAAGGCTTACACACATGCACACCATCAGGAACACGCTTGATTGTGACAGTCGACATATCTATCTTAGCTGTCCATCATGACGAGCTTCCTCTAGTAGAACTCAATGCTCGAATGGCACACGCCTGGTACCATGAAATCCTTTAGGCATTGAACATGCTGAATGACTTTATCTTACTTGCAAAAGATCTGTAAAATTGCAAACAGAGCAACTTGATTGGACAATCATGAACGCAGGAATTAGTTATGAATAATAACGGTTGGGGCAGTCGCTTCTCTGCCTGAATCCAGTCCATGGCTGAGCCCAGAAACTTGGCAGGTACGTGCGCAATCCACGAGTTGTTGAACTCATTATTCGCACTTGCCCATCCCTGTACCTTCTTGACCTGCTGTCGTTCAGAACGTTTTCCACCCATGTCTTTCTGAGTGGTTAGTCTCCATGGGATCTTCTGAACCCGAAGAATTGCGCCACCATGCTTGGACTTCCACAGCATCTGATATGAGGTAGCTGCAACATTCCCATGAAGGCAATCTACAGCTTTTGGTAGCATCATCTTGCACAGTTGTTCAAAGCAGGAAATGTTCGCACAAAAGCTGCCATGCTGCACGGCCTCCCCGTTGATCATCTCTGTTGCTGAACCCTCAACTCTCGGCGACAAATCTTGAAAGGAGGTATGGGGAAAGAAGTGCATTCCAAATTTCAGATAAGGAAAGTCTCTCGTGCGACTTGTTTCACTTTCTTCATCGATGACCGCTCTTTGCTTGTTCTTCTCAACTGAGAGTGATACATGGGCCGACAAGTACACATGCATAACTGGTTCCAAGTATATATCACAGAGCAATGATTCTGATGATGAGCTTGTGGCATTGTAGCTCTGGGCATAGTAATGATCTTGTTGCTGACAACAAAGCGGGTTCGGTTGAAGCCATTTTGAACAGATGCTGTAAAGATTGTTTTGGCGTTCACAAACAGATGATACCCAGCACAAGTCTTGTGTTGGTAGCTGGGTGAGCTTTGTCTTCACGGCCTCGACCGTTGAGCTCAAGTGAGGTATGAATAGCTGTAGGCAGCTTACTGCAACACCAACTATGTCGATACTCTCGGAAAGCCGTAAATTGAGGGCAAGAAGAAAATTGTTCTCTGATGCATTGCTATCTTTAAGTAACAATACTAGGTTACCATACACCCCATGGTCATGTGTTCTAAAAGGCTGTAAAAGAAACGACAGATGTTGACTCCCGCGAACAAAGCAATACTTTGTTCCTTTGCCAGCGAGAAGATGTCGTATAAGAGGGTCAAAGAACATATATCTACGTGGTGTGCCACCAAGCTCCACATACCTCAAGAACTCACTCGCACCATCTGCATACCTCTCGAACCGCCGGACGGCAGCAGAGCTTCTCAGCTCATCCTCGCTGCCACGGCTAAAGATGGACGAGACGAACGACCTGGCAGCATAAGCAATCTGCTTAGGAAAGGAGGAGCTCCTTACACTGTTTTGCATCTCTTCCTCTTCCTGCAGGCGCTGCCTGCACCTGCGAAGAGTGTGGTCGCACTCCTGCACAGCGCGCTTGAGCTTGCTCTGCCATCGCAGCAATGGAGCTCTGGTGGTGATGTTCCACTTGTTGGATGTCTCGAGGGCAGCCTCTAGCTTGATGTGTGCCATCTCCATCCTCTCGATTCGGTCCTTTGCTTCTGAGTTCTGCTCACACCTGTCCTTGAATCTTGATAGGACCTGATTGACAGCCTCCTGAGCAACTGCAGAAGTGACAATCTCTGCTGCCATTAGGATCGATCAAAGCAATGCGAGCTGTAGAATCGATTGTCCTGCGAGCTTGGAAAGAAAGCAAGGTACTCATCAATATACAAAAAAAAAAAAAGATGGACAAGACGAGCGACCTGCTAGAGTAGGGGAAACCAGAACCTGGAGAGGTCGAACAGGGTCGCAGCAAACATTTTGAGGATCTATCCTGCCGAGCGAAGTAATATATAGAAAAGCCATAGGTACCGAGAGCAGTGGGAATGTGCCGTCGTGAGCCAGAATTCCACGCACAGGGACCGAGAGCAGTTAATTAAGTCAACGGTGGACTAAACGTAGAAGATCTTTTTTTTTAACCGGAGTTCCCTATCTATCAAACTGGCAGGAAACTTCCATCGTACGTACATTGGCAGGGAACAGGTAAAAAAATAAACGTAGAAGATGTAGATTGATTACCTACGCTAGGATAAGGGTTAGTTAGGTATATATTGACTAAGAAGACTTGGGAAGCAAGGAAAATAATCCTTGTCACAGTCATAGTCTAACAAGATGGAGTTCTTTTGTTTTTGCAGAAGTTCTTAATGCCACATGGCTTACTTTGTGTTTACAAATAAGGGCCCGTTTGATAGGAGAAACTTTTCTGTTTATGATGAGAATCACTAGAATCACTTCCAAACGGTCTTTTCAGCTAGTGATTCGAAACCGAAGCGTTTCACCGTTTCTACGTACACGTCAGAAACGGCTAGAGGCTAGTTTCGCATATATTTTCATCTCATTGCTTCTTACTTTTTTTGCTTCATTTTTTCAGTTAATTCTTTATTAGTGCAACAAGCTAAAATGGTTTTTATTTAAGTTGTTCTCCATCCACAAAAATTTTAGAATTTTTGAATATATTTTTATTTAAATGATTTTTTAATCGGAATCCGGAATGCCAATCAAACGATTTTATAAAGTGATTCCGATTCACTATCAGAGGCGTTTCTTAGAAAGAATCTGGATCCGAAACGTTTCTGCGAGAATCTGGAGCCCTACCAAACGGGACCTAACTAGCGTTGCAACGAACATAATTTAAGGTTATATTTGGTTCAGGTTCTGGAAAATGTTTCTGTTATCAAAAAGTAGAAAACCAACTAAACGCATATGTCACACCCAATTTTAAGGATAAAATTGAATGCACTAAACTCATGTGTGCCCAGGGATCAGTCACACACATAAGTTGACAAATTATAAAAAGTATCATCACGGTGTATCTTACATAACGAATAATAGCATCACATTGTCTTACATAACACAGCGGAAGATAAAAAGATAACTCTCTCGTGGAACTCCATCACAGGGACGGTCGACTGGTTGACCACAAGCCTAATAATCCTCAGTAAACTCCTCATATCCGTTGTCATCTGTTACCCATCCAGGATTTTTATCCAAATATTGAAAGTAAACAAGCGTAAGTACGTCCCGTACTCAACAAGATAACATGGGGTTATGAAGCTCAAAAAGGTTGACACTGGTTTACTGCAGTTAGCACTTTTAGTAAGTCAAGATTTTATCCTCAACTATTATCAAGTTATGCTTAAGCTCCCATTTAAACCCACGTGATCATGTATCCGATCCAATTGAGTCATGTGACATCATCATAATCATCTCGTATAAACAACATTATAAGTAGCCATCTATTCTGTGAGTTTTCCGGGCCGCTCGTGACCGTGAGCACGGCTGTTATAACAGTTTGTTACCCTCTGCAGAGGTGGTGCACATTCACCGCGAGTCGTGATTCCCATATGCCCGGGTTAATTACTCCCATATCACTACCAAGGTGAGCGGGCAGGGTACACTATGAAGCCATTTCATAGGTTTCTCTAACAAGTTAGGGCCGCTAGGTTTCCTTGGCAGGCAGATGTAGGAACCCCCCTTTCCTATGGCACATATCCATCGCGGCTATACACATAGGAACAGAGGCAGTCCTATATCCAACGTGGCAAGCCCCTTTTGCGCCATAAAGGTAACCTCTAACAAGCTAGAAAAGGTCCTATTACTGAGCTAAAGTCAGAGCCATATGACCCTCACGGTTGCACTGTCAGTCCCAGCTTTTGCCGACAGATAAGTCCTTATGGAGGGCCGAGAGCAATATGATCAAAAGTCATTTGCACCATCGCCCTATGGATCAGTTGTTATAAAGCATGTTTTACCTTTAGTTCCATAGAACCATTCACCATCAAATAGATCATGTTCAGTTAGAGCACTAGCAATCTACCCATATGCAATTAACCCATAGGAGACAAGGAACAGGATAATCAATCACTAGGATGTCCTTACGGGTATCAAAATTAGACACATGCAAATGAATAATTAATAAATGGTGAATAGGCATCAAGGTAGGTCCCATGCTATACTTGCCTTGGTTCACAAACTCGTGCAGGTCCTGCTGGTAGTCGAAGAGTTCTTGGTCTCCCACGTTTTCCTCACCGTCTGAACGCGATCAACACAGCAACATACAACCTTCCAAAAGCATTCATGCAAAGCAAACATTTCTATCATTAGAACAGTACACCAACAGTATTGAAATCAAGATAAAATGTTTGTAAAACTAATCTACGTCTCGCTACGATCACGTCAACGCGAAGTTCAATTAAAAAACGGAGCTAAAATGCGTAAAGTTATGATTTAAGCGGGTTTTCCTATAGCCATATATTTAATTAAATCTAATCATGAAATTAAAAAGTTCCAAACTTGACTAACAGTAGCTCCAACATGTAGCTTATGAAATTACGAAGCTAACGCGATTTGAATGGATCAATTCGGAGCTAAAACGACAATTTTATAAGCAAAATAGTTCAAATGGCATTTCTGTAATTACTGAAAACGTATTTTTGACTTAAGCCGTGGAGTTTATGTTTTCCAAACGAGATTGCGCATTCAGGAAACTATGCCTTGGACTGCGGGTTAGGACTTAGAATAGTCTAGGGACTCTTTTGCATAATTACCCGCGAAGGGGTAACTTCTAATCCTGGCCGTTGATCTCGCGATGGGCGGCTGAGATTAGACCGAGGAGGGAGAAAAGGGGGGGGGGGCTGGCCGAAACAGGGTCTCCGGTGTCTAGGCGCCATTGCCGGCGGCGTGGAGGTCACGATGCCGCATGTGTTAGGGTCTAGGGTTCACCAAATGGGCATCCAAGGGCACCGGTGGAGCTGGGGAAGAAGGGGTCTCGCCAAGCCGCCACAAATGGCCGAAGCGGCGGCTAAGATGATGGCCGCCATGGCCAGCGACCATGGCTCGCGGAGCTCGTGGCCAAGGCTCAAGAAGCAAAAAAACGAGAAATAAGATGCTCGGGGAGATAGAGGGGAGAACGGCGAGTCTCACCGCGTGAAAACCGGAGCGGAGGCGGCTCGGCGATGGAGGTTCGCGGAGGTGGACAATGAGCTCGGAGACCTCCGCTGCGGCGGTTGCGGCCTTCCTCGGTGCTTTGGCAAGCGCGAAACGAGAGGGGGGCAGCCGGTGCGCGCTCGAGGGTCGGGCTGCTATTTGAAGCGGCCGAGGCACCGAGGGGGACGCCCCACGACGTCGTTCGTGGCTGAGTCTGCGCCAGTATTTGGGCGGTTCCGAGGCGCATCTTGGGGTGAAGACGGCGCCGACAAGCGGGCCCAGCGCCGTGGCAGGCTGGGGAAGCGGGCGGTTACTGGCCTTGTTCTTTGGCAGCCTTGCTGCTTGGGCGAGCGGAAAGGGGAGAGGGAGCTGGGCCAGTGGTTGTCGGGAATAGCTCATGGGCGAAAACAAGGATGGGGAGGAGATGTTCATTTTTCCTTTTATTTTCCAAACAAATTTTCCCAAAGTCATTTTCAAATAATTTTTGAATTCATTTGAACTCTAATTCAAGAACAATCATCACATGAATAAATATTGCAGCCGCATGTATGCATCAAAAGTTTCAAATCTTATAATTGATTTTAATTCCCCAAAAAATATTAATTTCCTATAATTGAATGCACACTTAATAACATAATTAAATCAAATTTACTTATTTTAAAAGATTTCAAATTTCAGGGTGTTACAATTCTACCCCCCTTAAGATGAATCTCGTCCTCGAGATTCGGAAGACGTCGGCTAGGAGATAGAGATACTTTGTCTATATATTCTTCTTAACTTCATCGCGTAGTTCCATCGTCTGCTCGAACTTGGAATGCCGTTCTTAGTCCTTGGTGTCACCCGAACCTTCTTAGCACAATTCTCCGTTGCTAAGGGCATCGGCCATGACTTTGCTCCTTAAAGTAATAGCACTTGTCCAAGTCGTATTCAATTTTCATTCCAACAAGGATTTCACAAGCTCAAGACCACCTTAGTGAAGATGTCCTGTAGATTCTTGGGATCCTCCTAGATGTCATTTGTACTTCCAAGAAGATAGTACTTTCATGCTCCACAATGGTTCTCTTCAGATAACTTGTTAGGTAGTTCAACTCACGCTTCCTTAATTAACTTAATGAACAAGGTACTACATTTTTCTTCTTGCATAAGGACACATTCTACACCTTGACAAGGTGCATCCTTGTAGATATGAAGCTATCATCCAGATCTGACCAAGCTAATACTTAGGTTTTACTTCAACCTCTTCTTGGACTCTTTCAAACACTTAGCTGAAGTTTCTTGATCCGAACTAACTTTAAAACTTTTTCGGTAGCTCTACCAAAATTTTGATGATCTTGGATAAACTTCCCTTGAATCTTTAATCAAACCTCATTGAGACTCTGAGTTTCTCTCACATCTTTGGGTACCACCACGCTTCCGCTGCGCAAACAAGAACGCAGGACACTTCAGCTTGCAAATTCTTCAACTTGGCTACCCCCCTTAAGAAAAGATAAACCAGGGGACACCAAAGTATAGCTTACATCTACTTCTTTTAGATGAGCTAACTAGTATCAAGATGTTCTGACATCCCAAGGATACTCTTGTATATGGACAAGAAACCTAAAATTCCTCGCGAGACGAAAAACAGCAGTGCAGTAAAACAGCTGTAACTCCCGTTCTGTTAATCC